AAAGTACACAGTAACTCTCCAGTCATGCAAGTGGCTTTTGGTGAGTCATCAAACAAAGTTTATTAGGTTACACACAGGTTTGGCACAAAGCTACTCTGAATAGCTCCTTTCCACATGCTAACATATTTCCCAAAGTAAAAATGCTTATTTCGAGCAGTTTGGTATGTTTTTCTGCTAACATTTGCAATTACCACAAAGTGCAGCTGATGGAAGTGTTATTAGTTTTGAAGTATGTGATAAATCCAACTGGTGGGCAAAAAGGAAAAATGAAGGGATCATTAAATTGGCAACTGTTCATCCTGAAAAGGAAACAAATTTCTGCGCAAATTTATTGTCAGTTCATCCCACAGTTGTTGAAACAATTTCCTCAAACCCACAAATGTCACCCTGGAGGGAAGGTCTGGCCATTTTTTAAGTCATCAGGATTCATCTTCTGAACTTCATCGAATTGTGCACAAACTCCCACAAGCAAAGACCAGTATTATCCCCTGTTTTATTCAGGTGGCTGGAGGAAACTAGAAAACATTTAATAATAAATATCCAATAAAGAAGTCAAATTGCAGAGTGGTGTGCCCTTAAATATCTTTACTCACAAGGCTGCAACATTTAGCACATTTCTGGTGCCACTGTGGTTTTTACTGTAAGCAGCCATTAAGCATATAACCAGCTTGCATCCTCACTCCCCTGAGACTGACATGATTACACACATGGGGCCTAGACACAGATAAGCAAAGCGCATAAATAGACACCACACTGTCAATGTGCATGTGTCAACCTCGTGCACATGCACACTGTGCAGCTACCATTACTGTCCATCTATAAACATCCCAAGTTTCTGACAAGGCTGTCAGCAAACACCACCACAGGTGGGGGATGGAAGGAAAATGGTAGCAACAGAGGGAGAGAGGGAAAAAGGGCTTTGCTAAGAGAGAGAGAGCAAATTCACACAGTGGTTGTAGAAAGGGAAGAGAACAGATGCGAAGAGCAAGGAAAAATGAGTAGGAGGAATCTCCTTATGGAAAACAAGACAGGAACAGCTACATAAAGAAAGCGGATAGTATGGTTTGAGGGCTTAAGGAACAATGCTTTTTTTTTTTTTTTTTAATCTTGCTGTCCCCATTTTCCTTAAAGACCAGAGGCACCAGATGGAGATGCAATTCCCAATGAAGAGCTTACACTCAGCGCACTTCTGTCTGTATCGGAGTGTGTTTGAGGCACTGTGCTTCTCTTTGTCCTTCCTATGTGATGTAATATATTCAACCCTGATGCAACTCTTTTAAGAGGGAAAAGAAAATAGGTGAAATTCCTGTTTACTCAATATACACAGAGTGAACAGAACATAGACTCTAGACTTTAGCACACACACACACACACACACAAAACAGTGTGTTGTAAGGGATTATGCAGGCTTGAATTTAACCAGGAAAAAAAATGCCTCCAAGCACCAGGGAGCAAATCTGGCTTTAGAACCTTTCCTCATCCCAGAGCATCCTGGTACAAAAGGAAAATCCAGCAACTGAAACATGTTCGTGTCTGAGGATACTAGAGCAAATGTACAGATGGATAATCAGCTTCTGACTCAAGCAGAAAATCTGATTGGAAAACACAGATCAGAGCTCTTCGATTAAACAAATGCCAGAAAATTATAAATAATCCAAAAAACACCAAATATTCTTCGTGTTTCTCACGTTTCCAGAGGCCAGCTTGACTTTGGGAATACCAAGTGGAATGCACACATCTGCAGGAATGTCCACTGGTATCCAGCTATGTGTAAATGTTTGCTCATGAGTGAACTAAGAAAAAAAATGTGTGTGTGTGTGTGTGTGTGTGTGTGTGTGTGTGTGTGTGTGTGTGTGTGTGTGTGTGTGTGTGTGTGTGTGTGTGTGTTGGAGAGAAAATGAGTGGCCATCTTCTTCTGCCTTTGTGTGAATCTTAAGTAGACCCATGTTGAGGGAGGCTTTGTTCGCCGTCACCATCGGGGGGCACGTCCTCCAACTTTTCCCCTCACTTCCTTTCAACATAACATTTATCATTCATCCCAGTCAAACAATCATCCTACAACACGGGCGAGCATCTAGCACACAATAAGCTACCCTCCCACCACCACCACCACTTTCTGGTTGCTGGGATACCTTTCATCCAGCTTGTCAATATCATCATCTCTTACTTAGAAACTCCCCGTTCCTCGCTACAATTGATTCCGTGCAGCAGAGGCTTAATAAAAACTCTGCCACGTCTTGTTTTCAAAATAAAGTTTCCAAGAATATCTTCTCTTCTTTATACTGCATCCAAATCATTATAAAAACGTCTGGCTCGGCAAAAATTGCAATGCATCCTTGAGGGAACCTTCTAATTTGCAAGGGAAATTCCCTTCTGGGCAAATATAGGATTATTTGGATTTACTAAACTAAATGCATATTTTAAGCTGACATTACAGAGCGCCAGTGTTAACCAGGGAAGACACCCGAAGGCCTGCTTCATATAAAGACAGCGTGATTCACCAGATCCACCCCTCCCCTTTTCCTGTTGCACTTTCAAAAGGGTTAACAGGTGCATTAGCAATAAGTGGAGAGATGCTGGAGTTGCTGACCCACAGCTAACAACATAATCTTATCAACTGTACTCTGTGCATATAACCCTCTGTCGCTTTATAAAACAGAAAGAGAAATTGGTAAACTCGAGCACATAATAGTTTGGGCCTTGTTTGACCTTTTTTATGCAGTTTTCGTGCGCATCCCTTTCAGCTGACTGACCTGCACCACTTATTCCGCCTATAATGATTGCTGACAGCAGATTATTTTTCCTACTGCACCCAAATTCTCTATAGATCTCTGCAGATCAAATCCAACAAACACTGGAGTGAGAAGCAAAGGCCAAGTGGACAAAAGAGACAAAAAGGAGACAGACAAGTATAGATAGAGACCTGCAAAATGAAAAGGGGGAAGGGAAACAAAATGAAGAACACAAAGAATAAGCAAAAGAAGAGGCAGCATGAAAAAGGTTGAAAACCCTTTAAACGACTGTGTTTTGTGAGGGAAATAAAGAGCTGCTAGCAGCAACAGCAACATACCAGCACAGCGAACGAAAATGCAAATCAGCCCCCGATGCAAATGACATACAGTGGGGCAAAAAAGTATTTAGTCAGCCACCGATTGTGCAAGTTCCCCCACTTAAAATGATGACAGAGGTCAGTAATTTGCACCAGAGGTACACTTCAACTGTGAGAGACAGAATGTGGAAAAAAAATCCATGAATTCACATGGTAGGATTTGTAAAGAATTTATTCGTAAATCAGGGTGGAAAATAAGTATTTGGTCACCTCAAACATGGAAAATCTCTGGCTCTCACAGACCTGTAACGTCTTCTGTAAGACGCTTTTCTGTCCCCCACTCGTTACCTGTATGAATGGCACCTGTTTGAACTCATCATCTGTATAAAAGACACCTGTCCACAGCCTCAAACAGTCAGACTCCAAACTCCGCCATGGCCAAGACCAAAGAGCTTTCGAAGGACACCAGGAAAAGTATTGTAGACCTGCACCAGACTGGGAAGAGTGAATCTACAATAGGCAAGCAGCTTGGTGTGAAAAAAATCAACTGTGGGAGCAATCATCAGAAAATGGAAGACATACAAGACCACTGATAATCTCCCACGATCTGGGGCTCCACGCAAGATCTCATCCCGTGGGGTCAAAATGATCATGAGAACGGTGAGCAAAGATCCCAGAACCACACGGGGGGACCTGGTGAATGACCTGCAGAGAGCTGGGACCAAAGTAACAAAGGTCACCATCAGTAACACACTACAACGGCAGGGAATCAAATCCCGCAGTGCCAGACGTGTTCCGCTGCTGAAGCCAGTGCATGTCCAGGCCCGTCTGAAGTTTGCCAGAGAGCACATGGATGATACAGCAGAGGATTGGGAGAATGTCATGTGGTCAGATGAAACCAAAGTAGAACTTTTTGGTATAAACTCAACTCGTCGTGTTTGGAGGACGAAGAATACTGAGTTGCATCCCAAGTACACCATACCTACTGTGAAGCATGGGGGTGGAAACATCATGCTATGGGGCTGTTTTTCTGCCAAGGGGACAGGACGACTGATCCGTGTTAAGGACAGAATGAATGGGGCCATGTATCGTGAGATTTTGAGCCAAAACCTCCTTCCATCAGTGAGAACTTTGAAGATGAAACGAGGCTGGGTCTTCCAACATGACAATGATCCAAAACACACCGCCCGGGCAACAAAGGAGTGGCTCCGTAAGAAGCATTTGAAAGTCCTGGAGTGGCCTAGCCAGTCTCCAGACCTCAACCCCATAGAAAATCTGTGGCGGGAGTTGAAAGTCCGTGTTGCTCGGCGACAGCCCCAAAACATCACTGCTCTCGAGAAGATCTGCATGGAGTAATGGGCCAAAATACCAGCTACTGTGTGTGCAAACCTGGTAAAGACCTATAGTAAACGTTTGACCTCTGTTATTGCCAACAAAGTTTATGTTACAAAGTATTGAGTTGTATTTTTGTTATTGACCAAATACTTATTTTCCACCCTGATTTACGAATAAATTCTTTACAAATCCTACCATGTGGATTCATGGATTTTTCTTTCACATTCTGTCTCTCACAGTTGAAGTGTACCTCTGGTGCAAATTACTGACCTCTGTCATCATTTTAGGTGGGGGAACTTGCACAATCGGTGGCTGACTAAATACTTTTTTGCCCCACTGTACATCTACAGGGGCCAAGCAGACTGTCTTTTTACCAACACTGCTTACCGTAAACCACATCAAACATCTCTCTGCGCTATCTGAACCCATTCCTCCTTGAATTCTGCACGGTTAACACACTTACAGGAATGCCTACAAGCTGGTGCAAAGCAAAATAACCACAAGAACAAGCATCATCTGGTTACTTCTCACTCAAACAAAACGCCTGATTACTGTGAGCTCTTTGCACGCCTACACATGAACGTGCTTTCCAGAGAAATAACAATAAGTCACTTACTTGTCCGTCATCACGTCGGCTAGCGAATACTGATTCATTAAATCTTCTTCTCACGTTCCTTCACACAGCTGAAACGGTTGAGCGAGACGCCCGGGGCTAAGGTCGCAGTATACGTCTACAAGAGAGGTTAAAAAAAACAAAAAAACAACAACATTGGGTTAGAGTAAATCATCGGAAATGAGAAAAACAATCGGGTACCCGCTTTCACTCTTCTGCATGTAAATAATAGCAGAACACGCGTCACAACATGACTGAAAAAATAAAGCCAATGCCAAAAAAAACTGCAGTTCCTCAAATGACCACTTGGGGGTGACTCCAAGCAAGTTGATCCTTGTAGACTCCCAAGATAAAATATTTGACCTTACACCAGAAATAGACATGTTTATAAAAATGCTGTTTTGGTCTATCGTAATCCTTTCACACCCACAACAAACATACTATAGTTGATTTTCTTTTTATATTTATTTTAAATTGGCATGCCGACATGGGCAAGATAACTTGCTGTATGAGAAGGTGATTTTAGTGAACTTGAATCCGGCACTGTTGTTCATTTGTTGATGCCAGAGGTCAGAGGAGAACTGCCAGATTGCTTCAAGCTGATAGGAAGTCAGCAGTACCTCATGAGTACTACTGATTACAATCAAGGCATGCAGACGAATGTCTCTAAATGCACAATCCAATAAACCTTTAAGCAGATGAGCTACAGCAGCAGAAGATCACACTGTTTGCACAGGCTCATCAAATTTGCACAACAGAATATTGGCTAAGCATCACCTGGTGTTTATGATGATCAAAGTTTATGCTGTAGTTGTTTTTTTTTCCTGGCCTTAACTCTAGTTTCCTCTTTGTATTTATATAGGCATTAAATAACAGCTAGCTTAACACTTTGACTTGGTTTGGTCACTTATCTCAATAAAAAACAAAACAAAACTGACAACTGCTAACCTTTATAATAGTAATTCAGTAACAGTAATTCAATGGGTGACACCATATATAGTCACCATTTCAGAAATGTATTCAAATGTAAGATGTGTTTTAACAGTCAATTAAAAAAAAAAAAGAACTGCCATCCATTTCAGATGTAGCAAAATTATGTAATTTAAAGACACAGCTATGCATTTTTGACCAATGTCATCTTCAGAATATTAACAGGCATCTCAGTTTCTCTTGGGTGAAAAAGTTCAGCACATCTTTGGCTCCAAAAGACAAAAATTTTGTGGAGAAAATTTTTTTTAAACCCCAAAAACCATCTTACATGTAGTCCGTGCTGGGGAACATCGGACTTTTGCAGACACACTTGACTTGCTCACAATTAGCCAAGCAAGGCCTGGTCTGTTCAGCTTTACTGTTTCCATAGCTACCAAAGCAGCCAACCAGCCAGCTATCTAGCATAAATAGAGTGCACCAAGGAGCCCACCGGGTAGTGAACAGACACTATGAATCAGTGGGGCTGATTATAATCCAGTATCAAAGGATGAATAATTCATCAATCATCCTTATGAAAAGGTCAAAAGATAATTATCAACAAGGTGTTAAAAAATACCATACATCTGACAAATCTATTGAAAGAAATGTTTAGATAATGCCCCTCTAATGATGCACATTTACATATGCACATAAATCATAAATCAGCAGATTAACTTTGCTGCCAGGATTCTGAATCTGAAAGTTTAATAAGCTGATCAGATGAGGCGTATCCTGTCTGTGTCCCGCTGGCTGATGCTCCATCTCCAAACCTGGCATTAGCTCCTCAGCTTATCTGACCTTAAAAGATTATGATAGCAGCACATCAGATTTATAGATTATACTCAGTTATGTGTTAACGTGACACAGATTACAACCTGCAGGAGTGGGACTTAGCTCCTGTAAGCAGATAAACATTAAATACCAATTCATATGCAGCTAAATGTGCATGAGGGGGAGTGAAGGTAAGGTCTCTGCCCCACCCAATCCAATCGTAAATCAGCCTCAAGCCCAGAGGCACCAGTAGCAGCCAGTCAGTGAGTGGACAGTGGCTTTTCCTGCTCCTTTTATCTATGCAAACAGCTACTCTTCACCTCCATCCTGTACTCTAAACTTTGCATCTGCCACCCATCTTTTTTCCCTCTCTGATGCATTGATTTCCTTCATCGCTCATACAGATGTTCACTGAACTTCAGTCCATCTTGTGCATTGTCTGTATACAACCAAGTAATTGATGGTAATCGATTTAGAGGCCATTTCCTCTGCTCCCTCAGATGCTGTTGTTATTGTTGTTGAAATTATTTCCAAAAAGGATAAATAGACTCCAGAACAAACAGAGTTGTCGCTGATAATTCTGAACTCATCCATGACACCAGGATAAATCTAACGTCAGCTTTCCTTCCAGTATTTCCAAAATAACATTTTCTTACAACACTGGACTTTTCCAAATATGCAAGAGGCCACAGTTTTGCACAATGTGGCAGACACTCAAGTATGAAACTACCTCGTGCCCACTGTGGTGCTGGACCCATTTGGTGTTTTCCTGCAAAAGCGAGGAGTTCCTTACCCAGAGCCCCAAATTAAACCGCCTTCTCCTCCTCGTGCAAACAATGATGCAGTGCCTCGATCCTGGCTCGGTAACTGTGCTGCTAGATTTAAGCAGCTAGTGGTGACGGAAATAAATAAAAACATAAATAAGTGACACGAATGCCAAAAGACCGGTGGTTTCCACACATGCAAAGCAGAAAGAGGACCTGCTCAGAGCTAGAAGAACGACACGCTTTGAAGTGAAGTGAGAAGACGTGTGATACACCTGCAGTCTAAACAAATTAACATTAAATTGAGCAAATTAAAACCCAGCATTGTCTCTACAAGGATTTCATACCCAGATAAGGAGACCAACTTGTGGCAAGCTACAGGAAAATTTAAATATCCAACCTGGGGGGAGATTTATGAACGGCTTGTAAGAAGACGAACACTTTCCACGTCTGCCAATAAACACCGATTTCCATAAATAAGATACTGTCCTTTTCTGTTTCTCCATTAATTCACACAGCCAGAGTGAACAGCCAAAAAGCAAATAAGGTAATGTGGAAACTCCCTTGCTGCATGCCCCAGCACACCCAGCACATTGAATTATTTACCTCACATATGAGATTTGGGTAAAAATAGCATGCACCATTTTGGACACTCTCTCCACCCTACAGAGCAAGCTTTGACAGGCATCTTCTATTGCAAAACAATAAATAAATAAATAAAATTCTGTTGATATCTATCATTGTTAGGTGGCAGCATACAGCAGGAGCTGTGTGCGACGTGAATCTTACCATAATCTGAGTGGGAAGATCCTGCAGGTACAGAAGCTCTTCCAACGTGGCTCAGTCACACTGTTATTACTGGTACAGTCGTGAAAGGTTTGCATGACAGATGTTTAAAAAATATAATAAAATCTGGTCATCCAGCACAACCAGCCTGTCACCTCCTCCCTCTCTGCTCACCAGTCAAGAGCAATCTGTCTCTCTCTCTCTCTCCATCTAGCATGATCAACACTGAAGGTGAAGGGAAAAAAAGGGAACGCAAGATGCTGCAAAGGCTGGAGAGACAGGGCTCGCATTCAAGACCTATTTCACTTTGGCACATGCCAGTGACAGGCTGTCTCCATCTGAGCGTAAAGCGAAACTGCTCGTATTCCCTTTCCTCCCTGTCGCAGCAGTCAAACACTGCTCACCGGCGGAGAGCGAGAGCCCCGAGATCGCGCCTCTGGGAAGCCTCAGTGCACACAATCGCTGAGGAGGGGGAGGGGGACAATTTGTGGGGGGCGGTGGGTAAGGGGAGAGAAGATGGGGGAAGGGGAGGTTAGGGTAGTGACTGTGTGTGCATCTGTGGGAGTGTGTCTATTGTTGACGAGTGTTGAGGAGCCCCCCCCTTCCTTTTTTCTTCCCCCACTTCTCTAAGGAGTGAATGGGGACTGCAGGTTCAGCCGGTGCACTCCTTTATTCAGCCCCGGGCGACAAAAACTCCACACGTAGGTTAACAGCGAAGACAGTTTGCATCCTGGGGACATAAATAAGAGGAGCTGGGACTTCTTCCTGTTTATCCAGTCAGTGAACTATCAAACGTTGAGTGACGTCAGGCTGACAAAAGAAAAACTATCCTCTTTAAACAAACCCAGCTGAGCATTTGACAAAAGAACGACTACTTTATCTCAGATGAAAGATGCCCTCCTCTTGTCAGCCGTGTCACACCGTGATATTCTCCGCAGCGACAGAATGTACTGTATGTAGGCGTCGTCTCCCAACTCCATTACCTCCCAGCTCCCTGCTCTCAGGAACACAACGCTGGGAACCTTTTCAAAACATCAAACAAGCTGTCGATAGCATGACAGCGCCGGATCACTAAGCTTCCTGCTCTCTCAGCATTATCAGTCATAGCTGCGGGGGCCAGCACCTTGGGAATCTTCACAGCTTTCCTGTACACAGTTTCATTATCGCGATTACAGTTGTCACACTTTCTAACTTGCAATCTTCAATAGCGGCGAATGAAAACCATTACAGCAGCCAAACCCTGAAGGGTGTGGACTATTATTGGAATATTTTCTCAGAACGTGCTTAACAAAAGACACAGAACACAGTTTCACACCCAGTGTTTGCCTTCGCCTACGCTGACTCAAAACCACCATTCAATGGTGACACGATCTCTGGAATGCAGCAGTGCATTATGCATGGCCAGTACCATGCATGCAGACATAAAAGTGCCTACACATGCCACTGTCTGCTGCTGATGTGGAACCAGATGCTACTCTGCAGCCAGAAGGAAATTATTCCAGCCTGAGGGATACTAGGGTGTGCCACGAAGGGGGGGTTGGGTGTTTCCAAAGGAAGAGGGGGGGAGGCCGCCACAGATGTCCATTTCATCGAGCACACCTCAACATCAGAGGAGCACAAGCTGGCCACTGACCCCTAGCCTTTAACTCCAGCAAGACCAAAACAATGAGCCATACATCACACACGTCCCCCATATTTCCTTGAATGGCGACGTATGAACGCCAAACGCCACGCAGGTGTGGACTGAGCTTTAAAGAAGGAAGAATCATGTTTACGCTCTCGTCTGCCTTAAGAAAACTGTATTTTTAATGAGATGGGGAGAACAATGAGGATTATGCATCAAAGACAAAACATCTTTTTACGGTGACTCCCCCAACCTCCCAAAGCAGGAGGGGGAAGGTGCCACTGCCCAGATCAATTGCAGGTATTCTTTTGTGCCTTTTTAGGGAGAAGAGCTGGTAGACAAGTGAAAGGAAAAATAATAAAGGCTTAATTGCTCAGGCCACCTTAAAAGCCATTAAGACTTTATTCAATTCATACTAAATACAGTGCAGGTATGCCAAGGAAGGTGGCACGTCTAAAAGTGTTGTCTTTAAGGTGGCTGAATAGTTGTGTTTGCATGTGAACACAAACACAGTGTGTGTGTGTGTCTCTGTGTTTGTGCTTACTGCAAGCTTCCTATACAAAAATGCTGGACCTGCTCCAGCAAGGACCAATTTCAATACTTTTTGTCAAATTCCTCTGCAAAACAGCGAGAGCTCGTTCTGAAAACCCAAACAGGGCATCCAACTAAATAAGGCCTGACATCCATAACAAGTGACATTTCTGCAGAAAGTTCAGATTTAAAACAAAACTTTCATTCAGCCAAGCGCTTCCTGACTCAATGTCCGATTTCCCAACCAGCTCTAAATTGATTATTGCCTTTCCTAAAGGACTCTAAAGATAGGTTTGCGTGTTTGTGTGCAGTTAGCATTAACAAGCAACGGTGTCCTGTGTGATTTCACTTAGCACATGCGAATCCTGCGCTTTCAATTAGAGAGACATGACCTAATCACTCATCCTAATCTGGTACGGGGAGATAAACAAGAGTTGTTGTTTTTAAATGACTGTAACCAGACTGCTTATAGACTAAACACTAACTCTGCAACATTAACCTTTCTTTCCAGCAGATGTTCCAAACCCAGAAAGAAACACTGGCAACCTTAAAATAAAAATAAAAAAAGCACAACTAAAACCTCTAATCCAAGGGAAAGTCAGAGTGACAGACAGAAATGTCTGACCCGCTCAGCAGCAGGCAGCCAGTGGTTTAATGATTTGTCTACTGCTGGTGAATGATCACACAGCAATATCCTGTTCTGGCTAGTTCTGTGAACCCCCCCCTGAAGGCCCTGCCTGACATGATTCTGGCGTGCTTTGGTGCCAGCTAGCCCATCATATTGACAAGATCCGGGTGTCTGCCCCCCGTGCCTAATGTGACCCTCCGAGGACCTCTGGAATGAAAATCGACGAGGCAGAAGAATTACATATTGAAGCCGCCAGGGAAGGCTGCGATGCTGGACGATGAGAAGAGAGAGGCGGGGCTGGTAAAGTCACTAACAAAGCTGTGAAAACAAGATGCTGGCACCTTCCAAAATTCTTCAGCGCTTATGCAATGTAAACCAACCTTGTATATAATCATTGTAATATCATAGGGCTGGTTTATAACTCAAATGATCGGCATTCAGTCATTAACGTATTGAGGTAAGACAAATACTGCAATTTATAACAACTTCTGTTGTACTAAAGTCTGCAGCTAACAATTGCTGCGTTACCTATAGATTATTTTAGACATAAAAAGTAAGTTGAGACTAAGATAAAAAAATTATTATTTTTTTGAGCCAAAATGTTGAAATTGTCTAGTTCTACCTTGTCACGCATGCATATTTTCTATTCTTCATGGTGTTTTCAGAACAGACACTTTTCCCTCCAGCCCACAAAATGGAAGATTAACTTATAATTAAGGCAATAATTACAACAATTATTATTTTTTTAAAGTTCCTCTTTAGTTTTCCTTCAGTCCTTTCATCTGGCATCAGGAGAAGAACTTGAGTCTGAGAGGCCACCTGTCCCTATCCTTCCCTCCATGCTTACAGAAGGTCAAGAGCAGGCGTGGGAGGATCACCAAAGAACCAAAAACAGTCACAGAGAAATGCAGGACTGCCAGGTCAGAGGGCAAATGTGGAGAGGAGGAAGACAAAAAGCATAACCTATTATTCAGTGCAGCCTGCTCACCACCTAAGATTAGACATGCATGCAGGTGAAAACGCTCTCCTGATGAAACCCATGCGCAGGTCACTGCCGACCCTCCCCAGTCTTGGTAGTACAACATGCCCTGAAACTTGGAGAACTCCTAAAACTCCCCCAAGAGGCCTCAAAGTGCATGCTGCAGGTCTTTATTTCACTCGGTGACATTTGGGTGCTCTTCATATAAACTGTGGTTACGTGGCTGTGTGCTTCAGCGCTGTCAATAAAGGGCTTTTGTTGCTGCAGTGAAAGCGCACTCTTGATTTATGCATGCCAAGGGTAGAAAACCCTCGACTGACCTCTAAGGTGCCAGACTGGCATTTTAAAATAACAGTTTAATACTTTAAAAAAAAATGCGTGTGAGCTGGGGGACAAGAGATAATGAAGTACAGAGGAGGGTTTTTGCGATTAAAAGACAGCATGGACTCCAGAGCCGCCCGCTGCTAACATCTTATTTTCTGCTCTGAAACGTCGAGAGAGAGTAATGTAAAAGCCGAAAGCTGGAGTTTTAAAAAATGGCTTAGAAGTAAAACACTAAAACGATGCATTTTCCACACCTCCCTTTGTCTCTGTTGGGGTTTCAGCTACAGCGCAACAAGTGCAGCTGAGCTTGAAGTCTGCGACGGCACGCACGAGTACGGAGCCGCGAGGCTACAGCCCTGAATCACTCCGCGTTTTAGAGAGGGGGACAAAAAACACAGATGCTACTTTCACCGAGCAGATAGCCGCAGGTTAAACATTTCACTGAACTTAAAGGTACTCACTGTGGGACGTTTCCCGGTGCTTACGGAGATGAGGGCTGAGGCAGCGTGACAAAGTTTGACTTGACGCTCTCTCTCTCAGCTCAGCATGGCGGCGACTGAGGCCACAGAGTGGATTCAAAACTCTCCGGGCTGAGATATCAGCAGACAGGGGGAGGGTGCACAGGGAGGCGGCGAGAAGACAAGGTATCTCCAGAGAGCGCACAGCCACATTCAGACAGGCTCCTCTTTTCTTTTTTCTTTTCTTCCAGGCGACCTGTCTAGACTGAAAAGACTATCATTTTGAAATACTGTACTTAAAAAAATTAAATACACTTTTTAAATAAATCCTATCGCACCTTACATTTACTGCACATACTCGGATATTGTATTAACAATATTTTATACTGCTAGTAAAAACTTTAATTTAATTTATAACATAAATAAATAAATAAAATTATGTATTAGATGGGTTACTCAGGATATGTTAAATAGGAGATCTGGAATGTTGTTTCTGTTTCTGTTCATTTATTTCTTTCAGGAACCAAAATACATTAATTACATAAAAGGAAAAGATGTAGTGTATCACATTTAGCTGCCAGGTAATTTCCTTGTGCAGTTCCTGGGCATGTAGAACACATTACAAAAACTCACATTCCCACATATATACACATGCAGACACACAATAACAAAAGATAAACAACTCAAAAATACTAAAATATCTTCTTATTTATTATATTTTAATATGTTTTGATTGATATTTATGCAGTGTGCATTGTCACTTCAGTTCCAGCTCCCTACTTTTAAATGCATAGATAGATAGAGCTAGCAGACCTACTCGAACTCAGTCATGAAAAGTAACATTGAGGTACTTGTTTACTTAGGTTTATGTAAATCAGCCCTCCATAAAAATACAAAATCAAAATATTATGTGTAGTATTGTGCTCATGTTTCCAAATGTCATCCACAAACAAATAATCACAGCTGCACTTTTATTATCCTTTTATGAATGTTTCATTTGTTCTTTTTCAGCTTTAAACCATAATAGGCAGCTCCCAAAGGAAGATCATAGTCCGGATGTTTACTATACAGTAATAGGTGACTGATTTGTATATTTTAATGATATTTCATTATACTTTAACAGAGACTGAACCTGGCTCAGCAGCCGCGTCTAACTGATGTATGTAACTAATTATATCTGTGGATATTATTTTAAAGTTTCACAGTCTTGCACTGCTTTTCACGTATTGTCTTTATTTTTGTTAACATCCTTGTGAATAATCCATCTGTAGGTGGGACCACTGGGTTCAAAAGATCACTGCCAAAGTTCAAAGGTTACACAATATTTTCCTGAAGGAGAAGTGACTTGAAAACACACTGGGGAGGGAAAGACAGACTGACCATTGTCTTGTTGTGCAGGACAGAGAAGGAGGGAGTGGGGCTTTCCATGGCACCGCAAGCTGAAAACAATACCATCTTTGAGTCAACGACAGATTGCTGCTGCTACAAGATAGAACAGTATCACAGTATACCTCTGTGACTACTTTGTGGATTCACTGAGCAACAAATGCCAAGAACTTTACCTGCCCAGCTGAGCTGCAGTAAGCCTCTAATGTCCTTTATTGCAAGTCGTTGGTTAGGCTGTACCCTTAAATATGCCAGCGCTTCCAGGCATCTTCTGCTCAACTACAAATTGTTTATTTTCATATCAGCCCCCGGTGATTTGAGAGCTTTGAGCTGAAGGCTGGCTGTAGTTAAAAGGGGACGGCCAGTGCTGCCCTGAAATGAATACGAAAAGCAGCTGGGTTTATCTTCACTCACTCTGTGACATGTGCTTCTAAGAGAGAACAGGTGACCCAGGAGGAGGAATGTATGCTAACTTAAATGTAATGCTGCAGCTCGAATTATTTGCTATCACTTAAAAGACCTGCATTTTACATCATATTAGATTTACTAATGCTTGTTTTTCTAGGTCTTTCTGAGCTTGTCTGCCTCACCTTGTTTAAATAGACGTCCAAACTTATGTTTGTTAGTGTTAAAAAAAGACCGATATATGGATTAAAGAATCTTATTTTCCTGTTGCTGTTGATAGGAATATCAAATGATTGCATGAAATGAAAAAAGCAAGAGAGTGAGTGTCAGAGCACTAAGTAGATGCACATATACTTACACACACTGGCACACAATAGAGCAGAAAAATTAATAGAGCAAGGTGTAGCTTTCCAGTGTAAGTATATGATCTTCATGCCCAAGCCCTTCAGACACACTGGTTGGATATATTTAGAGTCCCTCGTCGGTGTATCCATGCTACAAGGCAGGCCGCAATTATTCCCAACAGTGAAAGGGCCAGTGCTGGTCTGAGATCAGTAAAGAGGAGAGTGCGTGTGTGTGTGTGTGTGTGTGTGTGTGTGTCAACTGGTACGGGACAGGATTAACGCCACAAGAGTCAGAAGCCAGCTCTGCCAGTGGTCCATTTGCATTGAAAGTAAGCCCAGCAAACTCAGAATGTTTTGCTGGGCTTGTTCTTACATTCAAATGCTAAGTAGTGCAATTCTAAAGAAATGAAGCCGTAAAAAACGTAACCATGTGATCTATAATATCAGTACAAGAGCAGTTGAAGAGCGTGACTGGTTCACTTCATGGTGCTGAAATAAAAATGATGATAATAATAACAACATATGGCAGAGAAGTGAGCTTTTCTTGTGACTTTTTTAGTCATCTGGTAAGCAGTCTGTGGGAAATTGGACCCTTGAATGCTGAATTCATGTGTGATTTTATCACAGGCGTGCAGAAGTGAAAGAGGAAAGGAGTTTTTTGGGCTCCTTATTTAGCTGGTCTCTCCTCTGTATTTACTTTTTGTTCTTATTTTCCTTTTCTAATAAGCCATGCACAATGAAACGCATGGTATTTGTTTTACAAAGCCTAGGTACTTCTCTGAATTCAACGCCTAGTTATGAACACCAAAACAACTAAGGCAGCTGATATGTTTGCCTGAGGCAGCAAGGCTACAGTAAGTATGTGGTGCTAGATTATATATGTTTGTGTTCTTTTAATTTTACACTGGACCGCAGTAATAGAAACAGTCATCTGTGCCACACAACAGCACAGTGTCAATTTCAAATCTCATTTAGAAATGTTTCTGAATACCTTGAACACTCTAATGTTATGCCCTACCAGCGCTGCAAACCAGTATTGCTCTGCAGCAGGTGTCTGCCTGAAGTCTGACAAAGCAGTACCATCTAGTGGCAAATAGTGAACATGTCAATATGTTTACATGAACCATTGCCCTCACATCTACTGCCATAGACTGTATAGAAAAAACAGCCTGCTGCAGTTATCCCTAATGAGTTAACTGCGCCCCCTGGCTGCCAGCTTTCCAATGTGTCCGATTGTCGACAGATATACCCTACAATGACTGTTGTTAACCCCACTCCCTGTCAGTGGCCTCCATGGTATCATCATCAAATCAATATGACTGCAAGTTTGCTGATTGCACCAACAGTTTTGCTGGATGCAAAGAATCAAGAGTAACCTTAGCGAACTCCTCTACTTACCTCATGTTTAGCCTACAAGAGATCAACACTACTTAATATATTTGGTGCACTTGAATGAGTTCTGAGAATGAGCAAATGCATGTTTAAATTATGTAATCAAATCACAACATGATCACAAACTTCCACTACTGTTCTAAAAACATGCACCATTTTCAGTATGGGTTTTTTTTTGTGCCACTGTTTTTCAAGCACACTCAGAGGAAGTTATGAATGAATATTACCACAAACCATCATTAACCATGATCAGTGAAGCATCCAATGGCACAAACCTGGGAGGTCAAGAGTAGCAAGTGATACAGTGCTGCTCCCAAAATATCCAAGCTGGGACTGAAGTGAGTTACATGACATTTGCAGCATATATTTTAATAAAATTACACTGCAGTGTAGCTGTGAGTAAAGCTGATTAAAAATAAACATTTGCGACAGGTTTCAGGTGCGTACCCTTCGTTTTAATAGGCTTTAAGTTTCAACACTGAAATATAAATCCAGCCATTTCTGCGGGGCGGGCCGATAACTCGCCCTCCAATCAGCGGCTACAATGGGTTAACATGTGCTCCCAGACGACCAATAGCGAGGGACGGACTAGGCCGTTTGCCGCACCCAAGTGAGGATGATGGCGGCTGGGCGGAGCGACGACGCGGGGACGACAAGCGCAGAGAGATAAACCCCACCGTGAGGAAAAATAGCGAAAACCGTTGTCCTGCTTTCACCGTGTTCTGTTTAAATATCACCATTTCATCAAAGAGAGGGTAAGCGCTGATATAATCAACGTGGTTTGCATTTCAGCGACGGTGTTTATCCGTGGCGGCTTCTTCATATCGGTGTCTTTCTCGCTGTGTGTTCAGTGAGGCTCGGCTCTGTTTTGCTAGCATGTTGCCATTGAGCGGGGGAGTCTGCACAGACGCTGCTGTGCACTGTTAATTAAACGACTGTTTCTGCGTTTCACTGTCCTTTATTAAACAATTCACATGGGCTCAGCTGCTCCCCTGGACCCCACACTTTGGTAATCAGAATGTTTTACACTAAGTATCGTTAGCATTCTTTCCTAGCAGGCCTGTGATGGTGGAGGTGGTATTTTTATTTTATTATTTATTGGCGCAGAGTTACCGTTGCGTTGTAATTTGGACCCCTCTAGCTGTTCGGGTCGATAGGTTTAGTCGGACAGAGGCTCCTCGCCGTGCAGGTCTTACTCTAGTCTGGGTGTGTTTCCAAAGAGTGGGGGAGAAATTTGGGTTCTTTCCAGCTGTGTGTGTGTGCTGGTGATGGAGCAGTTTCCTGTGCTAGGTCAGACAGCTTTATGTCCTGCATGATAATATGGGCTCGCACACACTCACTTTTAAATAATAAACAGGGTTTTCAAAAGAGAGCAAGAGAAACGCGTGGAATAATGCATTCTGTCAAATGGAAAGCTTGAAATGTATAGTACAGAAATGAGGGCTAGCTGAAAGCCTAAAAGTGTTATGGCTTGATGTGCATGGCATCTGGAGTGGGTACCACACCACATAGATTTGTTGTTGTTGTTGTTGTTTTAAATCTATCCTTAAAGGATAAATTTCATTTATTAGTGTGGCTTATACAACTGTAAATTGATCACCTTTTGATAACGTGG